CCAAATAAAAAAAAGAAGCAAAAGCCTCCCTCTTCTCAATGCCGGATCAATATAAGAGGAAAAAAAAGCGTAGACTTTAGGCCCTATTTAAAAATAAGGCTTTAAATTTTAAAGGTTGATGATACTCAAAATATGTTGAAGGTTGAGCTTAGGTATTCAACTTAGACTTTTTATCTTGGGAATTTAGCCTATCCTAGATGACCACAGAACTTGAGGTCATACCTTTTGATAGGTCAGATCCAAGGGCTCAATCCATGTTGTAAGTCCAGTTTAAATTAAGAGCTCAATTCCGAGCGATTTAGTGTCCAAAGTGGTTCACGCCCGATCAAGCTCACCAGGTTTGAGGAGCTACATCAACAAGGGAGTCTCCTCCTACCCACCTTGAAGTAAGTGTCATCCAAGAGCCTCCTCCTACCCACATTGGAGTAAAGGTCATCCAAAAGCCTTATTCTCACCGCTTGGAGAGAGTCAACCTTCCCTCATCCTTTGACCAAGTTTTTTGGAGAACATCATAACTTCCTTTCCTGTTGAGGAGAGGAGAGGTCGCCAAGCTATTTAATTGTGACGTCCCAAAATCTGGGGGTCCATTGATTACCCATCAATCCACGGAATACCTGTGAATACCAAGTAATTAGATATTACGCCATTATGTCTCATTTACCGGGAACCATAATTTTGACGAAATTGGGCAAAGTCTCCTTTATATGAGAAGTTCTACCCAAAACTCAACCTGTGCAATCATATAATAACAAGACTCATCCGAGGTCCAATATTCAACAATGACCACATCGGGTCCAATTATAAGTCAACATTGGTCACACCGGGTCCAATTATCCATATTTATATCAAAACATACAAGGTTTGTTTAACTATAGTCTATATAAGTTCTATTACAATTATTTGCAAAAGATTACATGCCCAAAACATTATTTCCACAAATATTTTACATTAACACAAAATAAAGCCACAATCCGGCATTCTTCAAACATGAGGATCCAAATGAGGGCCGTCCACCGGTGTGTATCCAGAACCTGAAATATTTTCCTGTATAGGGTGAACCACGCCTAGTAGAGTAATTCTTACAGAGACTACTCCCCACCTAAGTGCACATGCAATGTTTACATACAACATTTCATAGTAACATCAACATTCCAAGTAAGAATATGCATTCAATGTTAGAATTTATCATGTCATGCCATAAAATGAGATGAGACTCACTCATGCAAATCAACCCAAGCCCTTCCCCGCTCCTCAACACATGCAAATGTCAATGTGTATGAAATCCTTATTTATGTTGCACATCAAATGACTTTTACCAACCTAGGGTTTTTGTATGGGGTGGATGTTCATGGGCTTACACCAAGGGTCTCCAACCTATTCGGAATTTATGGCATTTCACCAAGGGCTCCACGTACGCCCACACACTTCATGGGCCAAGACAAGGGAGTGCGTATCCCAATCACCGGGTCTTGCACCCAAGGGATATTCTAGTCCCTCATTGCTAATCTCAACTCTAATCACCATGCAACTTGTGCGACTCGGCCAAGTCTTCGACTAAGCTTAATGGAGTTCACTCGTCATCCACCAAGTGTGGTGTTGACGACAACCATGCACACACCCACATGATGCGATATTACCGTACATATGTAATATAATGTCTCATTGCACAATTATAATATATTCAATATGCTATGAAAGACATATGAACAATATCAATATATTTTACATATTCTATGACAAAATTATATCATAAGCATATAATTCCCATTATTATCCACAATGTCAATATAACACAAGCATGTACATACATTGACAATTTTCATAACACAATTCCAAGCATGTTATCACAATTTTTATGTCAATAATACACTTAATCACAAAGGTGCAATATAACACAAAATAGCCCACATAACGGCCCTTATAGAAACCACAAAACAACCCCTATATAGGCCATAAAACAGCCCCAAATTCAGCCACAAAACGGCCCTTAAACAGGCCATAAAACAGTCTTAAATTCAGCCACAAAATAGCTCATAAACATGCCATATAATAGTCCTAAATTCAACACAAAATACAACCACATAGCAGTCCATAATGTAACCCCAAAACAGTTCATAACAGTCCATAGTTTCAGCCCCTAAATCGGCCCTAAAATAGCCCCAAAGGAGAGGAATAAAATTAAGGTAAGAAGAACCCTACCTCAATAGAAGTGTAGAGAACTTCTATAACACCAAAACAACCTCAAAATTTTGATTTTTTCCAAAGTCTCTTCTTGGATCTTCGGTGAAACCCACTCTTTTTTGTACGTACACGTAGCCCTTGTCGAGGAGATGAACTTTAGCTCTTGGTCCGAGTTGATCCAAACGACGGAACTTCAAAGATCCGAGGCAGAAAGCTTGAAGAACTTGAGTTTTTCTACTCTTTTATTTCCTCTCTATGGCCAGCCAAACAAGACTCAAAATGAGGGTGAAAATATCTGATTTTTTAGATGTTTGCCCCTATTTATACCCCCTTAATGTGTGGTCCAAATTTCACCGCATAGTTTCGACTTCTGGATCTATTTTTCATCCTGAAACGATTCATTATATCTCGGATTAAGTTCAAATTAATTTTATTTAAAATTTTATTCAATTATAAGAAAATTTTATAAATTTTATTTTTTGGGGACCTTTGAAAGGTCATTCGTCATCCAATTGTCTCGTAAAACGTGTAAAATTCGACTACCTCAGAATTCGATGAAAATTGACATGACAACTCGATTTCGCGATACGAATCCAACGATGAGCTCCGTTGAATCATCCGAGCTCTAAAAAATTATAAATTTTAAACCTGCATTATAGTGACAAATTATCATTTTGCCCTTTTTCCAAAAAAAAAACAAAAGAGAAAAAATTTAAATTTTTCCCAGGTTTTACATTAATTACTGTTAAAGTCATCTCAATCCGTTATGACCGACAGACTAGTTATTCAATTACTACACTAAATTACTATAAATTGTAAGTCCCACCAACATTTGAGGGGCATCATCAAGAAACTCATTCAAGATAATTCTCTATCCACCATCTTAAAGCTTGTAACTCTTTGCTCTCCTAACACAGCTGCATTAATAAAATACCAGCGACCCTTGCCATTCAAAGTGGAGATAGGCCACGTTGACCGAACCACTATAAACCTTGTCTTCTCTCTCCCTCTACTTGTTTTACTGCATTTTGTACTACTTACTTGACAGGTGGTGTGCAAACCAATTTGTGCATCTTCAATTTGGCGCTGTCTGTGGGAAACGAAAAAAATTCTCACCTAAACACTTTCGCGGCTAAAGCAATTGCGATCACCACCAAAATCAATTGCGATCACTACTAGATCCATGAATCGGCCTGAAGACAATCCAACACGAGAGGAGGAGGTTGCTCCTCCACCTGCCAATCTCGTCCCAAATGCACAACAGATGCTAGACACAATGAAATAGCTTATAGCCCAGAACTAGCAAATCCTGCAATTGATGCTCATTGGGCAATAAGGAGAAGCACAGCCCGTAGGATCTCAAGCTAGAGGAGCTCCACACCCTGGGCATCAAGAAGCTCCCCACTTGGGCGCTCCATACAGAGGAGCCCACCATGAGGGACCTCCACCTCCTCCTCGAGTTCTTTCTTCTCATGGTGGAGATCCAAATTTCCAAGATGATGAGGACAAAAACCAAAGCGTGGAGTATGAAAGTCATTTCCACGACAATTACAAAGTAGCTCCAAACCACTAGAAAGAAAAAATCAAAGAAGTGCAGAATTAGCTAGGCAACGTCTTCAATGCCATGAAGGCACAAGGACCCGAAATCGTCGATTACCTGGTAAGGTGAACTGGCACACCCTTCATATCAGATGTGGCGACTATCCACTTCCCCAAAAGTTTAAAATGTCATTGGTAAAAACTTTCGACAGTACAAAGGACTCATTTGATCATCTCGAAACCTACAAGACCTTAATGAAGCTATCCAACGTCCTCGACGAAATTATGTGTAGGGCGTTCCGTACCACCTTGAAGGGATCAGCATGACAATGGTTCACCAAACTCACTCCGGCCTCCATAGGTTCCTTCGCCGAACTGAGCAGATCCTTTATGACACAATTCATTGATGGATGCTGTCAGCTGAAGCCTGTCACCCATATGTTCAACATAAAACAAGATCAAGACGAGAGTCTAAGAATTTACCTCACTCGTTTCAACAAGAAGGTCCTCCAAATCGAGGAGCCCAATGACAAAGTTACCATGACCTTCTTCTTGGGAGGTCTCCACTTATCAACTTTCCTCTTTTCAGTAATAAAGCGACCACAAAATATAATGCCAGAACTATTGGCAAAAGCTCAAAAATAAATGAATGTTGGGGACATCAATAGGTCCAGGCGAGGTGAATCATATCACCGATCGCCACAAGCTTGACCTATCTCTCCTCTGCTCTTAAGTAGACAGTCTATATCTCCAGCTTAGCGACTCTCTCGCGGGTCGCCAAAAAAGTTTGGTCTATCTCTATTATACTCTCAAGCAGACAATCTATCTCTAGTTTAGCGGCTCTCTCGCGAATCGCCAAAAAAAGCTTGGCCTATTTCTGCTTTGCTCTCAAGTAAGCAATCTCCAACTTAGCGGCTTTCTCACGGGTCGCCAAAAGAGCTTGGCCTATCTCTGCTCTGTTCTCAAGTAGGCAGCCTATATCTATAGCTTATCGACTCTCTCATGGTTGCCAGAAGCTCGGTCTCAAGAGGCACAACTTTCTCACGAGCAACCTCAAAATGTCTTTGCTATCGTACAAGCAACTTGCCTCTCTCTCCAGGTAATCATGTTAAATATTTTGATGTTTGGAATAACATTATTTTTGTCATCCTTAGGTAGGATCTTGAAATTTAGGTCGTCTACAACCCAAGGGACATCATTAGATTGAATGTCAACAATCAGGGCCTCATCCATCTGGCACCTACTCTTGGGTACCAGCGCCCCTCCAGTAATGCCCAGTCTCATGGGTGCCCCTCCAGTAGCACCCAACGGTATAAGGCCTTCAAGGATGTTGTCCGCTGCCTCAGGCATCCCAACGAGAGCCATAGGCGCCTCAGCAGGCTGCACGCCCAAGGCCAAGCAACGCCTCCTCACCACGCCCAACCTGCTCGCCAACCTCATGAGCAGCTCACCCATCACGAACCTTATGGGCTGCTCGCCCATCACAAAGCTCAGGGGCTAATCGCCTATTCCAAAGCCCAAGGGTTGCTCGCCCATTGCGGACTACGGGAGTTGCTCGCCCATTGTAGACCACCGGGGCTGTTCGCCCATCACAGGCCACCCGGGCTGCTCGTCCCTCGCCCGACTGGGCAGTTTTCCCATTCGACACTCCTTGGGTGGTGCTGGGCAACAGTCGAACGACCTCCTACATCACCCGAGATCTCCTATCTTCAACAAAAATAGCAGGCTTGCCCCTTATAGGCGCCACCACCTCGGACAGTCCCATGGCGCATGAACAACGACGGCAACGGACATCCCCCGCACCTCCATACCGGCGCCTGTCTCCTCCTTTTGGAGAACAACATTAATTTCTCCGGGCTCTCCCCCAAGATTCATAAACTCATCCCCCTCAATCGACATTGCTCTGAATGTTGAGTTCAAGAATCTCACCCCATTGTTCTTGAAGGATTTCAAGAAGAGCTCTCCTTCTCACTCAAGATTGTATGGAATGAGGCTCTTCAAGAATCCCAAAAAAAAAAAAAAAAAAGAAGTGAAAGAGGAAGTTGACATAGCTAATGGAGTCCCACAAGCAAAAGGAGTCTACTAGAAAGGAGGGAGTCACCAATCAAAAGGAGTTTTCAAAAAATTCAGATTTAAAAAAGATTGAACGCTATTGTGATCGTAACTTTTGCTCCGTAACTCCAAACAGAGCTTATTATATATCAAATTGAAGCTCTCGACAAGCCCTACAAAATATATTATCAATGACAGCGATAAACATTATAAAAAGTCTAAAAAAGGCTCAAAAATAGTTGTTTTAGCCTCCTGAAATTTTTTCAAAATAAAAAGTTTAGCTGCTTGCCCAAGACGCCGCTTGCTTGCCCAGAAGCTGCCTACTTGCCCAAAATCGCACGCCTAGCTCCTTACTTGTTATTTTGACCGTAACTTTCGATCTGTTACTCCAATTGAGGCCCATAATATATTAAATCGAAGCTCTCAGCGAGCCCTACAAGACATATAGCCTTTGGCTATGACTGATGCTGTTAAAAGCTCAAAAAAGGTCTAAAAGCATGGGTTTTGGCCTCTTGAAGCTTTTCCAATTATGTCGATCAGCCAAAAATTTAAACTTAACCTAAATGCCCTTCTTTCCAAGTTCTGTTAGACGTAGGGCAATGGAGGGCAAATGATGGGTTAGGCCCAAGGGCCCAACTCATGTTGTAAGCCCAATTTAAATTAAAAGCATAACTCCGAGAGATCTAGCGCGTAAAGTGGTCTACGCCCGATCAAGCTCACTGGGTTCGAGGAGCTACATCAATAAGGGAGCCTCCTCCAAGGAACCTTGGAGTAAGGGTCATCCAAGAGCCTCTTCCTAGCCACCTTGGAGTAAGGGTCATCCAAGAGCCTCATCTTCGTCACTTGGAGAGAGTCAACCTTCCCTCATCCTTTGACCAAGTATTTTGGAGAGCATCATAACTTCCTTACCCGTTGAGAAGAGGAGAGGAGAGGTCTCTAAGCTATTTAATTACTATTAAAGTCACCTCAATCTATTATGACTATTAAACGTTCTCAACCCGTTATGACTGCCAGACTAACTATTCAATTACTACACTAAACCACTATAAATTGTTAGCTTTACCAACACTTGGGGGGTATCATCAAGACACTCATTCGAGATAATTCTCTCTTCACCCTCTCAAATCTTGTTACTCTTTGCTCTCCCTACACACCTGAGTTAATAAAATATAGGCAACCCTTGTCATTCAAAGTAGACGTAGGTCATGTTGACCAAATCACTCTAAACTTGGTCTTCTCTCTCCCTCAACTTATTTTACTATATTTTATACTACTTACTTGACAGGTGTTGTGCAATCCAATTTGTGCATCATCACCTTTCATCCCTATAATTGTGTCTTCACAAGGATAACATAGAAGATAGCTGACTTTCACTCAAGTGCCACCTAAATCGTAATGGGTATATATCCAGACACAAGAGTCGTAACTGCCTCGACACCCTCCACGGTCGTTGCATGACAGTCGCAACCGTTACAAGGAAAAGGCAAGGATCATGTAAGAGATCATGCGAGGCCCAAGATCGACTATAAATAAGAGGCATAACCCCCACAAGAACATATAAATAATTGTAGCCTGATCAAACACTCTGTAATCTCATTTCTTATTAATATAAGTCTCAGGAACAAGAGACTCCCTTGAGAGTGGGATTAACTGAGCTCCCGAGTTGGTGAACTATTGTAAATTCTCTGTGTTACCCCCATTTTTTCCCTTGTCCAAATCTTAAGAACCTAGGAGTTCAGACTAAGTTACTCAGTGACCCATCAATCTCTTATCTCTGCACTATCGTGCTAAACACATCATCAGTTGGCGCCATATGTGGGAACGACTGCTCTTGTAAAAAAATTATAGTGATCATCTTCAGTAATTAATGATTTCTATGTACAATATGAGTAAAATTCAGATAAACCCCTCTGATTACAAAACCAACAAGAGGTTGCCATTGGAAGACAACGAGAAAATCCTTGTGATTTCTTGCCTGATCCAAAAGTTGACCCACCCATGGTGAATCCTCCTCCAAATAACGAGCTTGAAGCCCTTCGTCTAGCCAATCAATGCTTCCTCTAGTAGAATAAGGAGTTACTGAACCTCATCCAACGTCCCCAAAGGGCACAACTAGCCCAAAATGATCCCCCATATGGGAAACATCAACACCTCAACCCTCTAAGGGACATCACTGAGGGGGATGAGCGTAGCTAGACAGTTGGCAATGTCAATCGTCAAGTTCAAAGGAATGAGGACAATGAGAAAGTACAAAGCCAAAATAGGGGAACTTAGAGGAACGAGTTTCCCCCATTCCATCAGAAAATGAAGCAGCAATTCTGGGAGCTGCGCTTCAAAGAAGTTCAACAGGAGTTCAGCCACATGAAAGAGGCTGTGAGGGGTAGAATCTCCCTTTACCGTAGAAGTGTTGCATTTTCCTCTTCCACTTTAGTTCAGAATGCCACAGATAAAAGCCTTTGATGGGATAAGGGATGTCATGAACTATCTCAACACCTACAAAAATCAGATGGAGTTGCATGGTTATCAAGACCCAGTGCGATGCCAAGCTTCACTAGCACACTGAAGGGCTCAGCCCTGGCCTGGTTCAATAGGACGACTCTTTCTTCTATTTCTTTGTTCAAGGAGCTCTCTATTTTATTTGTGTCACATTTTATTGGAACTCGAACTTACTAGAAGTCGAGTTACCACTTACTGAAGGTGAAACAAGAGCCAAATGAGACACTGCAAAGCTACGTTCAAAGGTTCAACTCAGAGTCTTTGAAAGTAGACGTCCCTGATTAGAAGTTTGCCCTCACCGCATTCATCGTCGGGCTAAGAGTTCAGTCCAAGGACTTAATGTTCTTTATCTCCAAGAACCCATAAGCTAGCATGACTGAGGTCCTTGCCAAGGCAGAGAAGTACATCAATGGCGAAGAGGTTCTCCTCTTAAAGGTTAAAAGCTTGAGTACCCACAAGGAGAAAGAGAAAAGAAAAAATCCAAGTCTGAAGATGAAAATGAGTCGAGAAAAGTCTCCATGAAGATACAAAGATCGCTCCCTAAAATGAANTAAAAGCTCAAAAAAGGTCTAAAAGCATGGGTTTTGGCCTCTTGAAGCTTTTCCAGTTATGTCGATCAGCCAAAAATTTAAACTTAACCTAAATGCCCTTCTTTCCAAGTTCTGTTTGACGTAGGGCAATGGAGGGCAAATGATGGGTTAGGCCCAAGGGCCCAACTCATGTTGTAAGCCCAATTTAAATTAAAAGCATAACTCCGAGAGATCCAGCGCGTAAAGTGGTCTACGCCCGATCAAGCTCACTGGGTTCGAGGAGCTACATCAACAAGGGAGGCTCCTCCAAGGAACCTTGGAGTAAGGGTCATCCAAGAGCCTCATCCTCGTCACTTGGAGAGAGTCAACCTTCCCTCATCCTTTGACCAAGTATTTTGGAGAGCATCATAACTTCCTTACCCGTTGAGAAGAGGAGAGGAGAGGTTTCCAAGCTATTTAATTACTATTAAAGTCACCTCAATCTATTATGACTATTAAACGTTCTCAACCCGTTATGACTGTCAGACTAACTATTCAATTACTACACTAAACCACTATAAATTGTTAGCTTTACCAACACTTGAGGGGTATCATCAAGACACTCATTCGAGATAATTCTCTCTTCACCCTCTCAAATCTTGTAACTCTTTGCTCTCCCTACACACCTGAGTTAATAAAATATAGGCAACCCTTGTCATTCAAAGTGGACGTAGGTCATGTTGACCAAATCACTATAAACTTGGTCTTCTCTCCCTCAACTTATTTTACTATATTTTATATTACTTACTTGACAGGTGTTGTGCAATCCAATTTGTGCATCATCACCTTTCATCCCTATAATTGTGTCTTCACAAGGATAACATAGAAGATAGCTGACTTTCACTCAAGTGCCGCCTAAATCGTAATGGGTATATATCTAGACACAAGAGTCGTAACTGCCTCGACACCCTCCACGGTCGTTGCATGACAGTCGCAATCGTTACAAGGAAAAGGCAAGGATCATGTAAGAGATCATGCGAGGCCCAAGATCGACTATAAATAAGAGGCATAACCCCCACAAGAACATATAAATAATTGTAGCCTGATCAAACACTCCGTAATCTCATTTCTTATTAATATAAGTCTCAGGAACAAGAGACANAAGAACATATAAATAATTGTAGCCTGATCAAACACTCCGTAATCTCATTTCTTATTAATATAAGTCTCAGGAACAAGAGACACCCTTGAGAGTGGATTAACTGAGCTCCCGAGTTGGTGAGCCATTGTAAATTCTGTGTTACCCCCATTTTTTCCCTTGTCCAAATCTTAAGAACCTTGGAGTTCAGACTAAGTTACTCAGTGACCCATCAATCTCTTATCTCTGCACTATCGTGCTAAACACATCATCAGTTGGCGCCATANGGAGTTCAGACTAAGTTACTCAGTGACCCATCAATCTCTTATCTCTGCACTATCGTGCTAAACACATCATCAGTTGGCGCCATATGTGGGAACGACTGCTCTTGTAAAAAAATTATAATGATCATCTTCAGTAATTAATGATTTCTATGTACAATATGAGTAAAATTCAGATAAACCCCTCTGATTACAAAACCAACAAGAGGTTTCCATTGGAAGACAACGGGAAAATCCTTGTGATTTCTTGCCTGATCCAAAAGTTGACCCACCCATGGTGAATCCTCCTCCAAATAACGAGCTTGAAGCCCTTCGTCTAGCCAATCAATGTTT